GAGATATTTGATTGTCCACAAAGATGTTCAGAGAGCCTACTGGGAGTGAAGGAGGGCGGTACGTAACATGCAGAGGTTCTGATCTGATGACTGTCTCCATGTTTACATTGTTGATGCAACGGACCCATGCACATTGAACACTGTCCTGAGGAGCAGGGATGTTTTTGATCTCACAATCAGCCGTTGATGGGGACTCACTCCAATTTGGTTCGTAAGAAACGGTCGTGCCTGAAATCAAGAAAATTTGAAATACATTCGAAAACGTTGGACAGCATGGTGACACGTGCATTATGCATGTGTATACCAAGCGGACACGCGTGGATTTCACTATTGCTATTTGGAAGAACATATTATTACTTATGTGAATAGAACATCAGTTACATGTTAGTGTGAACACATTAACATATCATCACATTTCCATATTTTTGTTTTCTAATTAAAAATGTCATTTACCATGTGTACAAAAGCATGTGTCTATTCCACTTTCGTCATCTTCAACCCGCCATGTCAGTTTCATTGAGACAGTATCAAAACCTGCTGTGTACTCTAGATTTGAAGAAACAAACTGAATCATTGGTGGTGTGTGGTCGATGGTGATTGGCTTCGATGTGAAGATGGTTCTGAGGCCAGCATTGTTCTCCGCCATCACTGTGACATGGACTGGGCTACCATGTGGCTCTTCCACCAGAATCATTTCATGGTTGCTGACAGACGTTGGGGACAAGGCACGGATCTGGTACCCTCCCTTGCTGGTTCCCACTCCGAGCCACACACTTCTAGTGCCGCTTTCCTGATCTATTACCCTGGCACAAACGGCAACAACAGATGGCCGGATTTGCCAAACGATGATGCCATTTTCTGAATTGGTCTCTACGAGATTTTGACATTGACTGAGTGTCACTTGTAAGGTCTCAGATACATTAGTGCCTGTGATTGATATACTTATGTTAGTAAGGCCGGAATTTGGGGCTAGGAAGTTATGCGATGCTTGCGTTTCTTCGATTTTCTGCTCAAACATGGCCGGAATATGCAGTTTACCTACTGTAAATATGACGTTTGTCGTGTGAATGTCCAAATCACCCAACACTGTAATCTGATAGAATGTACTCTTCTGCAGATGTCCTGATGCGTGAAGTTGAATGGAATCGTATCGAAGATGTTGATATTTAGTTGAAGTAAAGTTCAATTTCCTGTCAAGGAAAGATGTGCACTGAAAGGCTTTAGTGGCTGATGTGTCAATCAGTACACTTGGGGACTCAGCTGTGCCACTGTGAAGACCTGCAGCATCAACTGCTCTGACTGCAATGCGGTACCTCTTGTTCTCCTCCAGTGCCAGATTGTCTATGATGATCTCATTATCCATTCCATGATATTTAAACATGGAGTCCAGGACTTGTTCTCCCTCATTTACAACCGCAATTTCAAACCTCTGAACATAGGAGTGATAATCTTCAAAGCCATGCCAAGAAGCCCTCAATGTTGTCTTGGACGACTGAAACTCAATACTCTTGTGGCGATCAGTGTTGAAGACTACACCAACTACAGGCGGTTCGTCATCGACTACAAAGCCATCTGACACTGCCGTTGTCTGCAGACCAGCCATGTTGGTGGCCCTGATGCTGCTATAGTATTTCGTACCACTTTTTAGGAGAGCCAATGGAATCGTATATGAAGTTTGTTTACCAGTGGAAGTTGGTTGTAAAATATCATCTCCTGGAATAAAAAAGAAGTATCAATTACTCAAATATCACAATTGTATTTGCAGTATCATGCGAAGGGTTCACTTCAAAGAATTAAATTACTAAAAAAGTCATACCTTCTGGTGACGTGCCAACCCAGATTTCAAAGCCTGACATTGGCGTCTGTGTATCATTGAATACTCCGTCCCAACATGCTGTTATTGTTTGCCCTTGACTGAAATATTCCAAGTCCAAATTACAAGAACCATCTGAATCAAGGGGTGACTTTGCCCTCTGAACTACAGGCGATGTGTGGTCCACAAGGATACTATCAGACTGGAACACTGCAAACTCGCTGAAGTCAAACCAGGCTTTGACGTAGATAATATATTCTGTACCATGCTGCAAGGACTGTCCGTTCGGAAGACAGTGTATGATTCGTGTACCCTTCCCTATGTCACGCCACTCAGACTCCGTTTTCAGATCAAATATACCAATTCCTGCTGGTTCTGCTCTTTCTCCCATGCTCCATTGAAATCGTGTGATTTTGTCGAAAACCTGTGGGGACGAGGCCACCCAGTGACCAGTTAGACACGACGATGATCTGGTAACTGTAGCATCCGATTCAAGTCCAGGATGTACGACTATATCAGTACTCTTCCTTTTACTGGTTGTATCAGTGCAGTTCGGTTGTGATGAACTAAGCGTACAATGCTGTCCCAAAACAGCACATGTGCAGTCGCCTTCGCAGTAATGGACTGAGCATGAGTGACGTTGAAGTTCCAGCATGCCTTTTGTGTGTTTAGTATCAGTGGCAACAACTGCCACAGTCACCTTTCCAATCCCACTTGATAAACCAGCAGCATTTGTCGCTGAGATTGTCAGGATGATATTTTCACCTGTCTTGATTTCATCACTAAGTATGAAGTCAGCTGATTGTACAGTTGTGCTTTTCTCATGCAGTATGTCAACAATTCCGCCCGACAGTTCAACGCCATCATATTTTCGACTAATAGAGATATGATACACATCTATTCCTGATTCAATATCGGTGAAGCCAATCCATGTGAGGTTAAAGCGTGTCTTGGTTGCACCTTTGTCAATGATACTTCCCCATACCATCGGGGAGTCGAATCCTCCCAGCTGTGGGGGCGTAGAATCTATAAGGATCGGGTTACTTGTGGCTGTGGAACAAAGATCTGCAGCATTACAGGCAGTGACAGTGGCAGTGTAGACATCGCCACTTCTCATCAGATTCCCTGCTTTGAAGAGGATGATGGTGGAATGCTGAGCGCCCAGGTGAATGCTTTCAACAGCAGATGATCCATCGTGATGAGTAGACAGTGACACCAGGTGTCTTTCAACGGGACTATCAGCATCTGTGAACTTCCAGTGAAGATGAAGCATGGAGTTCTCCCATTGTACATTCACAGCAGACATGTTTCTAGAGTAGGGAGATGTGAACGCTGGTTTCACAGTTGCTACTGGAGCGGATGCATCCACGATGAAGCTGTCTGAAGTGGATGTGGCCACTAGACCTGCTGGATTTGTAGCATTGACAGTAACATAAAGGGGATGGCCAGATGGCAACTTGAGACCAGTTTTAAGAACTGAGTCAGAAAGAAGGTTGTTGGTACTTGGAAGGACATCACATATCCCAGCGGTTGTTCCTACACACCAGTCGAAGTGGTTGATCCCCGTCTCTGGGTCCTCAAATCCAAACCATCGAGCAGTAAGAGAGGAACTGAAATCACAATACTGGTAATGTAAAATGAACACATCTTGGGATATAACATGAAAGGATTCTGAGGATATGTTACCACATGAAGTATATATGGTTTCGTTGATAATTCTGATAACTCGGTGATAACTCCAATGCGTGAGTGAGTGCACTCAGCAATATTACAGCTATATGGCGGTGGTCTGTAAATAATCGAGTCTGGATCAGACACTCCATTGATCAAGAGCACTCCATTTAACAGGATACTAAACATAATTACGCATGTCCATGATATTTGCGATGATGTCCGTCATGGCCCACAAAGACCATGCCAGGAACAGGGGGAGAGTTGTCCAGGATGATCCCATCGGATGCAGATTTTGAGCAAAGTCCTGCACGGTTACAAGCCTCAACACTGCAGTAAAGTTTTACCCCGAGAGGCAAGTCTCCAGTCCATGACATTTCTGGAAAAAAGGAACTTTATTTTGTTATTTTTAGAAATACATGATTGATGTGTGTCAATTCATAACTTGTGTCAATTCATAACTTGCATCAGGACTATTCAAATTAAATACCCGTACGTTTTTTTAATATACATCGTTGGTTGACTCTGTGTATACCTGTTCCTAATCCCGTGTGCGTTTCTGTCACAACATCATCCAGATAGGGCTGCGTCCCCAGGCTAACGCGGAAAGAGGACAACCCAGAGTGTGGATCATCAAATCCAGACCAGTGACAACCGTATCTGTCAGTGAACCCCTGGTAGTCTAACTCCACCTGAAGCAATTTGCAAGTGTATTTATACAAATAAAATTTCTTGTAATTTTAATTTTGATTCTTGAATCATAGGCTGCTTGGAAATGTGGACTTCAACCGTACCATATGTCAATGCAGAACACTACCTTGTCTGTATCTTCACCATCAGTAACAACACCTCGGGTAGGTGGTGACGAGTCCACAGTGAAGGTGTTGGACACTGCTGTAGAAGTCAAGCCAGCTCGATTGGTTATCTAAACAGAGATTGCAAGGATCTCAAACGTTTCTCGTGCTGACACGTTCATATACATGTATATACTACGACGCTCCTGTTGGCAGTAGATTACTACTGATACAATCATGTTAACAGTCTTGGTGTTGTATATGATCTATTTGATGTGTACAAGCGACCACTAGTTCAGGTGCATTGCCATCATAGGAGAAAGCAAATAATGCCAACAACAGAACAATATACTGACATATAAGTGTCAACCCCAAATCCCTGTGAAGGTCATTCCAGGCTGAAAAGTGGTGTTTGGGCAATTGTCATTTCAGAAGTCAGTCTGGATCCGACTTCACAGATGAACCAGGCGGATTTGACATCCTTACCGACGTGATGTCACAGTAGCTCGTGAGCGTCCATCGTGGTCAATAACCGGCATTACAAATCTGTTGCGTCACTCTTTGTTGTCATGGTGAATGCCTGAATTTCTTACTTCAGTGGATTTTATGTCGTGATGCTATAAGCGGAATGGACGTGCGGTTCCAAAGTTAAAGTGGATAATCAAGCCATCGACATTGGATTATCAGGCATTACTCTAAACACATATATGGTTTCTGAATTCAATGGGGGTTTTAATGATGCACATGGCTTTTTCCCGCTTGGATATAAAATGTCAGTGTTACTTCTTTGATTTTTGCAATTATGTCTGTAAACATAGACTTACTTAAAAGAATGAATAAGCAGAGATCAAAATGACAACAGTACCATTAGTTTTGCAAAATACTCATGGCCATCTATAAATCCATTCGTGTGGATGTCTGCAAATGTTCCTGCATATTTCGTAAAAGGTGACAGCGTTCCAGTGATGGTCGACCCTATGGCCAGGTACGTTGAAAGGATGCCAGACTCGGGATCTTCGAATCCCGTCCAATGAACGGTCAGCCTGTCTGCTGAAACCACGCTGTGGCTGTCGAGTGTATTGCCGATGAAGATGTCTCCTGTTTTAGGTGGTGTGACGTCAACCAGAACAGCGTCTGAAGTAGCCGATGTTGAGTGCCCAAGTCGGTCAAAAGCTGAAATACCAACACCAAAATATGGCAATTATTAGCTTTTGCAGGACCTGGTTTCCATTCTGTCACAATGAACCGAACAACAGTCGTCATAATGTTGTAGGAGAACAAACGTGTTGCATAAATGAAAGTAAAGGGATATACCGATTTTACCAATTAAATTTAAAAACAGGTTAATTGTTTTTTGATAGTGTATGCATATATTCTGGACGCACCTTTCACAGTTGCATAGTAGGTTTTCCCATTCACCAACATCATGTTTGAAAAGTGTGCATGGTGTAAAAAGCCAACATTTGTGAAGACCAGAGCATCTTGGCCTCCTGGATAAGAACCTGAAACAGACGAACATGGGGACATTTATTAGTGGTTACGTAAATCATGTATAATGTTATCAATTGGACTATATAACATACCTAACGATGTTTCTATTTTGCATTGCTCACTATAACCTGTCCCTGACAAGTAGAAAGCTTTGTTTATCTAAGATCACCTCTTTTCACCTGTGACATTTATAATTAACGAAACATGAGTATGCTGGAATGAACCTACCTACATGGTATAACGCAACAAATGAACCTACCTATAGCACATGAGAAGTGGGTTATGCCTGACTCAGTGGTACTGTCATGGTCCCTGAAACCTGACCAAGCCATCACTAGAACATCCCCTTCGGTAAGGAATCCATTGTGTTGGTTCACCACCCAAACATCTCCTTTGATAGGCGGGCGATCATCTATGACAACACCATCTCCACATTCTGACATTGTTAATCTTGTGTTATTGCTTTGGACGCATACATAATATGTTATACCATCCAGTAAATGTGTACCATGAAACTTAGCAACTGGTCCTTCTTTTTGTACACTGGTGATACATTTATCGTCAGATTTACAGTCAGTGGGAATGTAAGGATCTGTCATCAAATACCAGGTGGACATCAGGCCTTCTAGTCCATGCATAACACCCGCCAGTTTAATGTGAGACTCGGCAATGTCAGTATCAAAGGAGGAAAGATTGGAAAATTGCAGGATTTCCATCATTTTCATAATTTTCGGAACATCATTCTGGTTCACTTCAACAAGTCTGTTCCCGTGATTCACAGTCTGGCGTAGAGTCGTACACGATGTACGAGACAGCTCAGATGGACAGGTGACTCTGACACATACGTTGATGATACTGTGTGACTGAACATGATCCTCAAGACAGACGTCAGCCTGGAAGGGAGATGCAGAATTGTCTGTTGTTAGAGACACAATATGGTATAGACAAAGCATGGTCAATCAGACACAGCACCCCTTTTGCAAACCCAACCCAATAAGACACAATATCCCCTTTTGCAACCCCACCATGTTTAAGAAGATAAGGATATCAACGATGACCTTTTATTCCCATGTACAAACTACATCAAGGCTATTATAACTATTTTGTCAGCATTCCTTCGTATATAAAAATAAATTACTACCTTTCCTGAGGCTAGTGACTGGTCAGTTTGCCAGGGAGTTAAGGTATCGTTATGTTTGTCCACAACAGACCAGCGATAGATTATTGTGCTTAAATCTCCTGGTTCCTCTTCACATTCAGTGTTTTCGACATGAATTGTCACAGCATGACAAGACGATATGGATCTATTGGTGAAGGATGCTGTTGTTGTTACTTTTGGAAGTCCAGAAAGAACTTTAATGCCATCTGAAGATTTCCAAGCCAAACACACACTATCAAAACAGGGTCTCACAAACACTTGGTACACCTTGCCTTTTTCAAGGACTATATTAGTGAAGTCTGCATAGTTAGTTCCACCGTTTACAAAAACGCCTGAGACTGTTTTATAACATTGCGTGCTGTTTTTGCAGTGCATCCTTTCTTTGAGAACAGCTTGAAAATGAGTTGTAAGCACTTTCCATGGACCATTATATTTCCAGAAAGATGACACTTTGTTCTTAGACAACGTGTAGTCAATGTCCAGTGAGCACATATGGATAGTTGAGTTGCCGATGTCATCAGCAGCATTGGTAATGTAGAACCGAGGATAATTTGTCAAAGGTACAAACTCATACGTGTCCAAGTCTTGCATCTTTCCAGCAGTGCTAAGGTTTGACACAAAGAAAACGTCATCCGACCTTAGTGTGCCATTTAGGGAAAGTTGACACTTAACAAGATATCTCTGTCCTATGCCGAGAGACGCAGATGGTACGTATGACCTCGTTATATTGATGTCTGAACTTTCATCTGTTTTTCGGGCCAATACCGAGATGACAGAAGTGTCCATATCACACGATACTCCATCAAAAACTTCAAAGGCAAACTGGTCATCATTTGGTTGATCAATTATGATGAAACCATCGGATGAAGCATATGATGATCCACCTGAACATGTTGCCCTTACTGTAGCATAATACTTGACACGTGGCTTGATGCTTGATGAAGTTATACATGCACTTGTACCATTTACAGATCTGAACGGACTAATGTCACTTCCATTTACAGCAGACCCTAGGGCCACTTCAAACTGGACATCTCTGTGATGAAGGAAGCCATTCCACTTGACACAAGACTTCTTTAGTGTTGAGTGAAAGTCAACATCATCCTTCCCATCAACATCCATTGGGTCAATGTCATAGACTAGGCCATGTCCTGGTGGGAATTTAGATGGTACTGTAATCCCCTCCGTGGTAACGAGTGTGAATTGACCTGCAGAATTGTACACATACAGTTCAAAGAGAAATGCTTTGTTGAGCTCCGAGTCCATCTCTTTTAGTCTTTCGAGTGGATATCTTATACAACCAGCGTGGCCCTGGATCTGACAGGCTTTTGTGATGTGGTTTGGCGTTTGGAGTATAGGTGTCACATGATGTCCATCGTGAACTAAAACAAAATTCAAAGTACTGTTTCCAATAAAAGTAACAGAAACCCTCATCAAAATCATATGATTAAACAATCGTCGTTGGTTTATCCGATGTTCCTTAATGTTTAGAAGATTAATTAAACTGAAACAGAGACTTTTTTTTAAAAGAACAACTAGTAGTGTTGTAAGACCTTACCAATTCTGTACAAAACTGTAAATTCGGAATCCTGTTGCTCTGAATCTGTGAATGTCACATTGTCCCATGTAACAGTGACAAAATCTCCCCCAGCTGTTGGTGTTATAATCTCATTAACAACAGGGGGGTGTATTGTCGATCATCACTGGTCCAAAAGTTACAACTGAAGTCAGACCGGCCTTATTAACTGCCTTTAGAAAGACGTAGAACATGTTCTTCCCAGAAAAGCCAGCATGGTTAATCTTAAATGAGTGGCGTCCTTTACTGGATGCGTAGTCCAGAATATCTGGGTCATGAACTGTTGTCGTGTCAGATCCAAATCCCACTGAGAAATCTTGTATCTGGCTTTCATTTTCTGTGCAGTTCCAATGGAGGTCTATCTTGTCTGATGGAAGAAAGATCACAGAGTCTTCTAAAGATGGAAGATGTCTACAGAGGCTGTCGGCCATTTCAGTATCATTCAAGATTCTGTTAATCTTGGGGAATATTTCAGCAAAGGTTGATGTGGAAATTGAATTGCATCTCTGTGAACATTCACTGGTGTTCTGAAACAGCTGTAATGTTAGATTTCTTTTGACAAGCCAGAGATCCCCATTCAGGCACACAACGTGTTCTTTTGATGTTTTTGCAGATCTCAAGACGACATTGTATACTGATGGAGGTGAGGTATCCCTGATTATCCCATCAGAACAGGCGGCTATTGAAGGACTGAGAGCAGCATTGAAGGCAACAACTGTGGCATAATATTTCTTCATCTCTTCACGAATTATAAACCGTGCTGTATTGATGCTTCCTGGAATAGTAATCACTTCCGTAATGTTTTTCATGACATCAAGTGTCAGACATTTCTGGCCCAGACTGACCATGTAATGATGGATGCCACTCTCATGGTCAATAAACCCTGCCCAGTTGACCAGTACAGTATCCTCACTTGTGTAGTCCACATCAGGTCCGTCCACTGCTCCTTCTTTAACGGTCCCTGCTTCAGGAGGAGAGGTGTCCACGAGGATGTCCATGTGATCGATGTTCTTCAGGCCTGCTCCGTTTGTTGATACGACCGTGAAGAAGAAGGGCTGGTTGTGTTGAGCTTGATTGGTCTTGTTTGCCACAAGAGCATTCAGCTTTACAGTATAGTTGTGAAACTGACACTCTCCAATGGATGGACAGTAGCAGTTGGAATTTGATGGACAGGACTGCAAACAGAATATATAAAAATATATAGTTCAAAATAAATGATGAATGAAAATATACTGCAGTATTAAAAATTAAAGGATCATCCAACCAAAACAATTTTAACAAACACACAGTTCCAACTTACTGAACTACAGATAAAATAAGGAAAATAAAATTGGTTTTCATTATAAATTAAAAACTATACAGCATAGTTACCTTTTCTTTCAGTTTTATAACTGGCAGTACACCATGGCCAAGGTCGTCTGACGAGTCTTTGGTGCCAAGGTACCACTCTACATACACAATGCCGCTGTGAGGATCACTGACATCAAACTGGAGCAGCATGGTAGAAAGGTCGAGGCTGTCGTGGACGTACACCTGCTTGTTTCCATCTTTCACGAGCCACATGTTGGATATGTCGGGAACAGTAGAGTCAATGTAGACACGTACCGATTCCTCAATTGAGTTGCTGACAATGTCTTTAAATCTTATTGAAATATTATAAGTTTGACCATCCAGCAGCTTTGGGGAGATGCAAAGTGACTGGTTGATGAAGTTAGGAACCAATTCCCAGTTTGACCTTACGCCATAATCAACAGATACAGAATACTTTGCCTCGACGATGCCATCAACATTAGGAGTCCCAGAAATAGGAAGGATTCCAGTAGTTTGGTCATATCCAGCCACCACTTCTACCTGTGGACGCACCGGCTCCAGAAGGTTATTGTCCCTCATTTCATCATTGGAGTAACGGCCTTTCCAGTCTATACATACAGGTGCCAGGTTTGTCTGCCATTTGAAACTTGATTTCTGTGTTGCTGACACAACTTGAAGTGGTTTTGAGGAATCTGTCATCAGTTTGGATGAGTTGTCATACAGCACCAATCGACGTACAGACTTGATATTTCCAGCTGTGTCATGTACCTCCAGGATTACAGCATAAAGGCCATATTTGTTGGGGAGATGAATAGGTATGTCCAGCTCGAACCTGTTATCGTATTTTAAATCCAAACCTTTCAGTGGCGTGTATATGACGTCGATCACATTTCCTTTGTGTTCAGTTTCGAGGACTTGTATTTTAGTGTACTTCAACCCCGATGCTGCATCAGCCTTTCCTCCCGTCGGAACAGGGTCTGTCCATCCAGAGGTTTTAACATGCACTACACCTGCAATATTTAAATTTCATTCTATTATGTAAAAACAGTTCGTTTTCTAGTATGAATGCCCCTCGGGAGTGTCACGCCGCAACGAGTAGGAGCCGCCTCGGTGCACATCGTGGTGGTAGTAGCAAATATTCAAACTTGAAGGTAAACAACTTTAAATGTTATATGCACATTGGAAATGGCAACACCTCTGATTTTAACCTCCATTTTGCCATGTATATTATAATATATTTATGTTTGTTTATGTGATTACGTTGACCCTTTTTTTAAAAGTATACCTGCTAAGATCAAAGGCGAGCATCACGTGCCGTACGTGTACTCGGTATCAGGTTTCAGTCAACTGTTCCTATTGATTGGCTCCTGAGAGGGTACGTAAGTCAAAGATAAATGAAGTGAATTGATCTTACCAAATATTTGAAACGTAGTATCTTTGCAATTATAAATTATGGCTAAATTCGACTACAATCACCAACGGCTGAAGGGATGATATAAATCCAGCTAGGTTCCAAGCAGGTAGCAAAGCTACTGTAAGTCCCCATGGCCCCTAGCATGGTGATCTACCTTCAGCTGTGGGTGATCTCCAGTCCGTTTTTATATTGTATTGTCTGCACCATTTGTCTAATCTTAAAAGTTACATGCCAGTTTTAATTCTATAACTGTGATAATATAGTTATTTTACTGTCCTTTGTCGACAATTCTTTTTACAATTTAATTGCGTTTATTGTTAATTTATAACTTTTTAAGTCACAACATGGCTGAAATATTGCCGGCGTGACTATAAATCTAAACTCTCTTATTGATTGGAAGATCAACTGAATTCGTTGTTGATAAGCAAATAATCAGCTTCCTCCACTGACATCTACTCAAAGATGGCACGTAATAGGTATGCACAATTCTGGCATGTCATTGAAGGCAATTGTAAGAGATGCGGACTGCCAACAATCGACTATCAGCAAACGAATGCTGTCCAGTTCGACAACGAGTGACAACCCCCAGGTGAGCATATAGCCCTTCTCAGAATCTCAAGACTTCATCCATGCATGGCATGTGGCGTGTGAAACAGACTGGCTTTCACATCGTCGTTTGTCTTACAGAACGGTCCGAAATAGCATAAAATCCAATGGGTATAGAGCCAGAGGACCTATCAAATGTGCGTTGCTATCTCCATAGCACAAAGCAACGCGACTAGCTTGGTGTCATGCTCGACATCACTGGAATTTGACGTCATGGGAAAGGGTCCACAGGTCGGACGAAACACTGCATATGCACTCGGAATGGGATACCTTGGACAAGTTCACAGGCGTTCATTGGTGGTTTGGGAGCCTCTCGCACGACTGTCAACTTGACCTTGTGACGATCAGGCAAAATCGGAATGGACATCAGACATCACTGATAACCTAGACAGGGTTGCTGTGCAACCTTTGGATGACTTTCGTCTGAACTTAAGGTCAGTCCTCATGGAAGACAATGCCAGGCCAAATCGTGAATCTGCTGTTGCACCTTTCTTACGTCAAGAGTCCCTATCTCCAGCCCATGTTTGGGACATTATAGATCGTAGAATGCAGTCAATGAGTAGGAGGGGGGTCAGGGATGTTACACCAGATACTGACATTGTGATCGGCTAATGATACTTGTGTGAGTCCTTGAGGACTGATGTTAGAATCTTGAAAATGATGTATACTTGATAATGTCATACGACTATAGTTACCAGCCCTACAAAACGTCTCAATATGTTGCCATGTTATCTCAACAAAGAGCTTTTTTGAATTGAATTACATTAGCCATTTAATTATTCCTTGAGGAGTCGATCCTTTCCTCTGCTATGGTTAATGGTAGCATGCTAAAACTAAGAAAAGTACTAAAAATGCGATACTGTTTCCCATGTGTACTGACTGACTGACTGAGTTTGGTTTTACGCCGCTTTTAGCAATATTCCAGCAACATCACGGCGGGGGACACCAAAAATGGGCTTCACACGTTGTACCCATGTGGGTATTCGAACCCGGGTCTTCGGCGTGAGGAGCCAACGCTTTAACCACTAGGCTACCCCACCGCCCCTTTTCCATGTGTATACATTGGCCCAAACAAGAAATATAAATAATGGTGATTACGAATGCTGAAATACATACCAGTTCGTGTAACGCGGGTTGATAGTTCCAGTGGCTGTGACACGCAGTGTCCCGTGTTGAGTTTAGAGCAGTGTTCTGGTTGACCAATATCATACCGGAAACAGAGCTGTTTGGTAGAAGTCTGATGACTGTAAATCTGGGTTCCTAAGTGGTGATTGTTAAAGTCCTGATACTTGAAAAATCCTCCTCCAGTAGCGGAAAAATAGATGCACAGTCTGGATAGATAAAATTAGGCTTATTTTAAGAGTTTCGTTCATAATTTCTTAGTTGTGGGTTGATCAAATGCATTACGTTAAAGACTGAAAAGCGAATGATATCTTTCATGAACTTTTATGGAAGACATGTGGAGGACATATTTTGACGTGTTAGTGACAAAGACATTTTTGCTATTCAGATGAATAATTTACTTGCCTTAACGTGTGTTTGTGATGAGTGTTATGTTCACTGTTTACGCGAACACGTGTTAACATCACCCTTTATAGTGATTCACATACATATATCCCTGATATAGTCGGAATCGTACAATCGACACTGCTTTCAAACTATGTAAAGGGTTTAGTCCTTTGTACATGTTATCGGTCACTATAGTGATGATAGAAAGCGTACGTGAAACGGGGACAGTCATTGCAAACACATGCAATGTCAAGTCAACTGTTCACGAACGGTACACGCCTAAAGAGAGAATAGTACATTTTTCATTGATGCGTACTACTCTATCAACTGAAATATTTTCAAAAAGAATTTTTATTTCATATTTAACAAAGTTGCATTATTAAAGGCAATGTATAAATACCTCTCCCCATCATGCATATCTGTTGAAATCGGAAGAGTCCTTGAACATGATAGATAGTTAGACGGTGAAGTATCACTCAGAGCATTGGAACACTCAGAGTCACTGTCGCCGAGTAACGGTATTGTTGACAGAGTAGTCTCGGCTCCTGTATTGAAAACGACCAACTACATAATGCAAAGAACATATTTAAGCATGCTTCTTCAACTCAGATCAGTCCAAGATCACATCTGGTCATGATTGATTGCACTACGAAATTTAATTGTGAGGTGTTGTAAAGAATATGCACATGGAACACTATTTCTATTCAGCAGATATCGTTCTCTTTTCCATTTTATTCCGTTGATTTTATTTTCGTGATTTAGTAAGTGAGTATGGTTTTATCCCGATATTAGCAATATTCCAGCAATATTACGGCGGGGGACACCAGAAATTGGCTTCACACACTGTACCCATGTGGGGAATTGAACCCGAGTCTTCAGCGTGACAAGCGGACGCTTTAATCACTACCCCAACGCCCCTTTTCTTTTGGTGCAAAATCGGTCCATGAATAAACTTGGTCAAGTCGCAATATGTATGAAATAATAACGCCGATACGATGCGTATTTTAACTCACTCCCTCTAAGCAATTGTCTCGAACATAGTAAATGGAATGAAGAGTTATCATTGTGGGTTAGAATATTGCAATCACTGTACCGTTGATGAGAATCTTCTTCAATTTTGCGGATGAAGTCACGATTCCATAGCTTTGATTGCAGACATAGTTTGGGGAATTTTTTATGTTAATGTTGTCGAACTTTGAGAAGAGCAGATAGTAAACAGATTTGGGCTTCAAGTTGACGTAGGTATCTGCCTCATGCGCACAGCCAGTGCTGGACCCATGTGTGGAGTTCCTTTTGCTGTGGTGTGCATCGGTCATCCCAATATTGCAGGTTAGAAGTTCGGGCTTGTAAGTAACTGTGAATTCAACAATCAGGGTCATAGAAATGCAAAGGTGTTGTTGAAGCTAGTCGATCAGGTGGCTTGGTAACTTCTTTACATTACAAATGCCATGTTTATACATACAGACCCGTGCCAGTTATATTCGGACACTTGACGTAATTCCCATAGACTTACATGTTAATTTAGTGCAGCAAAAATTATTTTCATGAATTCAAGTTTCGTAAGATCCAAGTCAAAATTTGCAATTTGTGAGGAATCATCTTACCTACAATCTCATAATTTCTGTTTAAATTGGCCATGCTTATTTATCGAATGGCAACAATTTAATCAACATATGTACAACGCTGTGAACTCCTTTAACATGGCGGTTTATGAATGTGAAGTCATTAGTTAAATAGTGGTCGGAAAATTGAACTGAAATTATGTGAGCAGAGCAGATAAGATTTCATATTTGCCTGTCAAAGTTTACAAAGATCCATCCTAAACTCACTTCATGAAAATTATTTATGCTACACTGAAATAACATGCAAGTCTAAACAACGTCAAGTGTCCGAATATAAATGACACGCTTCTGTACATATGCATACAGCATTAACCGACAGACTGTTATGAAATCAATTTCAAGGAAACTATTGAAATGACAACTGACAAACTATCTGGTCTCTCCTAGGACATTCACCTTATCTGTACTGCAATTACATCGAATTTGAGGGGAACACTTTTGGACTCACGGTCACACTTTGTGTAGCTGGATCCTCCATCTTTCTTCACGAAGCCCGTCCTACATTTACAGGATGTCCTCAATCTTCTGTCTGGGCAGTCGCCAGGCCAACACCATTGGTTCTTCCACGAACACGTCACTAACAATAAAATACAGAGTAAACGTACCAACCTTTATCCCCAAATGAAGTAACTGTCCAAGTAATTACGCAAACATTCAGCGTTTACATGTAAGATACTATACACATAGTTCAACTTTAGAACTCACGAGCACAGTCAGGATGACTGTTTGTGCCCCACCAGATAGAATATTTAGGATCAGATCCAGCATCAAGACAATGATCTGAAAGACAAAAAAGAAAACCATTTCTAAAAAATTGTATCAATGAACTGAATCTACTAACTGAATCTGAACATTAAAAATAAGTGTTATAAAAATATCCATGTAAACTATTGTCATCTATATATGAGTGACCATGTCAAACTATGTTTACGACACGAGTGCCTTATGTTGGTATTTCCCGAGCGAGAGCGAGGGATATACCGATATTTAGGCACGAGTGTCGTAAACATAGTATGATATGTGCACGAATATAATATTCTGTTTATTACCGAAGTCGTCAAACTAAGGAAAATAAACCCAAATCTATTTTCAAACATAGGCTGGCTTCCGGCAGTCGCCGCATATAGAACGCAACGTCACAGAAGTAACGTGACGTCATAGCCTTGATCATGACGTCACGTCACCATGACAAAGATATTTTGCCCTAGGGCATCGTATGAAAAATGCGAACCCCAATATGTTCGCCATTGTAGATAATAAAGTACTGTAGACAATATGCAATAAAGCACAAATGACTTAGGAGCAGGTAAACGGGGACAAAACTTAGTATGTGATCATGGAGACAAAAAGCAACAACATCTGAAGACAACCAATCATGTCGTATTTATGTATCAAGTTATGGGCACGTTTCTTTTTCATTAACTAAAGCAGCTGTAGCAGCTCGAGAAGTAGGGGAGACTCGGTGTCAGGTTAGTGAAACTGTCAAACATCCTTAAAGACCTTGGCGTCATGTTAACCGTACTGTCCCTTACGTTAGTAAAGTCGTGCCGTTAGACGAAGGTGTGCACTTTGTGATAAAAGCAAGAATGGCACAATCTGTCCTTTAAGCGGCGTAAATATTACAAACATTTGCATTAACATGATCGCTTTTTGTAGCAGTTTGCTTTCTGTTTGGCTCCGTTGTATATAGTACGACACTCTGAACACACTCCAATCTCGTTTGCACCGAATACATAAAGGCGTGACGCTTACCACAATGTGATCCAGTATACCCAGTGTGACAGGAACAATTGTTTGGAGCAACACAGCTTCCTCTCTGGTTACAGGCTCCATTGGTGTTGTCCTTGTTGTAACAGATGGCTGGAAAAGACAACAGTGTTGCAGTTCAGTAAACACTGGTATTATGAATGCTAAAAGGTATTTGAATGTCAGTCAGAATTTACTTACATAATTTACCTTGCTTATAAGGTATGTTACCATGTTAATGACAATAATGAGCGCCAGTACCTGTGCTGCAGTCGACGCCGTTGGTACTTCGCCATCCTGAGCAGCATTCATACACTACACGTGATTCTACGCGGTACCTACAACACGCGGATAACTGACGTGGTTATGTTGAATTACAAAGTGACAATAGCAGTGGCAAGCAGACGAAAGTAAGCATCTAAAGTATCCAACAATAAATCGGGTGCATCCGATAACAAAATACTAATCAAAAGCATTATTTTATGTGTTC